TAAGAAGAAGTGGCAAGAATACACAGACCCATACGAAAAGGTCGTAAGGACCTGGATAACTACAATGGTGTGGTCACTTACCTACAGCCAGACATCCTAGACTGGGAAGACAAGTGGGCCTCAAGAAGCATTAGTATGAATAAAGCTAGCAGAGGTGACAGAATTCCAGCTGAGAGATTTAAAATCCTAAAAGATGATGCTGTCAAACTGCTACACTCAACATGTCAGCAAATTTGGAAAACTCAGCAACGGCCACAGAATTGAAAAAGATCAGTTTCATACCAATCCCTAAGAAGAGCAATGCCAAAGAATGTTCAATCTCCTGTACAATTGTGCTCATTTCACATACTTCCCAGTTTATGCTCAAATATCCTTCAAGCCAGGCTTTAGCAATATGTGAACTGAGAACTTCCAGATGTACAAGCTGGGTTTCAAAGAGGCAGAGGAACCAGAGGTCAAATGGCCATTATTCACTGGATCATGGAGAAAGCAAGGGAACTCCAGAAAAACATCTACTCCTGGTTCTTTGACTACACTAAAGCTTCTGACTGTGTGGATTACAATAAACTGAAAAATTCTTACAGAGATGGGAGTGCCAGACCACCGTACCTGCCTTCTGAGAAACCTGTTATGCAGGTCAAGAAGCAACAGTTGGAAAACCAGACATGGAACAACAGACTGGTTCCAAATTGGGAAAGGAGTATATCAAGGTTATATATTGCCACCCTGATTAACTTCTATGCCGAGTACATCATGTGAAATACTGGGCTGGATGAAGCACAGGCTGGAATCAAGATTGCCAGGAGAAATATCAACAGCCTCAGACATGCAGATGATACCACTCTAATGTCAGAAAGCAAAGGGGAACTAAAGAGCCTCTTGATGAAGGTGAAAGAGGAGAGTGAAAAACCTGACTTAAAACTCAACATTCAAAAAACTAAGATCGTGGCATCCGGTCCTACGACTTCATTGCAAATAGAAGGGGGAAATGTGGAAACAGTGACAGATCTTATTTTCTTGAGCTCCAATATCACTCAGATGGTGACAGCAGCCATGAAATGAAAAGACACTTGCTCCTTGGAAGAAAAGCTATGAAAAACCTAGACAGCGTTTTAAAAAGCAGAGACATCACTTTGCCAAGAAAGTCAAACCTATGGTTTTTCCAGTAGTCATGTATGGATGTGAGAGTTGAACCATGAAGAAGGCTGAGTGCCGTAGAATTGATGCTTTTGAACTGTGGTGTTGAAGACTCTCGAGAGTCCCTTGGACTGCAAGGAGATCAAACCAGTCAATCCTAAAGGAAATCAGTCCTGAATATTCATTGGAAGGACTGATAATTAAGCTCCAATATTTTGACCACCTGATGTAAAGAGCTGACTCACTGGAAAAGGCTCTCATGTTGGGGAAGATTTGAAGGCAAAAGGAGAAACCATAGGTTGAGATGGTTAGAAAGCATCACTGACTCAATGGATATGAATTTGAGCAAACTGGGAGATAGTGGAGGAGAGCGGAGCCTGGGGTCCTGCAATCCATGGGGTTGCAAAGACTGGGACATGACTTAGGGACTGAACGACACACTCAAAGAGGAGGTGGCGGCTGAGGTCAACATCAGGATCATGTTGATAGAATGTATCCTTGATAGGTGATCTGAGTTAAGTTACTAAACCTCTCACAGCCTGGAGGTTATTAAGATCTACTGGGATAGTCATTTTCAGTTGTTAAATGTATGTGAAATGCCATCCTCAGCACCTGGCCCATACACTGAAAAACAGTATCGACAATTGAGAGTAACTCTTTGAAAAGTGCTCAAGGCCTAATTTTTATGGTGTACGAATATTTGTTTTAAAAATTACTGACTGAGGTTGTCAGTGATCTAGCAAAACCTCTGAAATATACTACAGACCTCTACATATTCATAATAAGGTCCTTTCTATCAAGATCTTGGTACCATTGTGGAGCTATTATTGAAGAGACTTGTGAATATTATTTTATGGCTCTATCTGATGTTAGAGAAACTTCATATTATATCTGCCTCTCTTAGTCTTGAGTTGCCTCAGTATTTCTTTAAAAAATACCATTTTAAGAAAAAAGCACATGCTGAGCTATTTGAACTTACACTTCAGATCACTCTTAAATACTTTGAAATTTCTTAATGGTGTCAAACTAAAGCTATAAAAAAGAATCAGGATATCCTGCTGTTGTCTGTTTTATAATGTGTCTCCTGTTGGCAATGTATTATTTCAATACTGATATACTGACTCTCATACTGGATCTTACTAGTGAACATATGGTACTATTTAACGTTCAGCAGAGGTGACAGGTGACACTAATGATGCTGCATCATGAATAAACTGTAGCTAGTAAAATGGCTTAAGAAACCAAAGGACTAAATGCGCCAACTGTTCGATAGATGGAATTTGCTTGGAAGATTGACATTACACTTTCCCAGTTTCTCAAAAAGGATTACAGCCGATATGTGACAACATGAATATGTAGAATAATTTTTTTTTCTTTGCTTTAAAATTAAGATGCCAATTGGATATTCTGAATTTTTGCTCTAAGGTTTAGAAATCACCAGCAATGGCCTGTTTAAAAGCATCACACAATTGATTTCTGCCTCTGACCTTTTTGTCATCCTTTCTGTGTTAACTGGACAAACTGGCTGCTGAGGAATTAAACCTTTTGCAATAACAACCACAGATGTATCCTTATCATGTTTCTTAAGATGGATTGTTTTGTTTTGTTTTAAATTTCTGATGGATAGCCAAAGAACCTGGCATCTTAGGTCAGCTTGTCCCAAGTTTCCTTTACAAGAGATAGGATGTTTTTAAGACCACATGGAATGAAACTGAAATCTGTGCCAAATTAATGTTTACTTTTTATGTTTTTTAAAGCTAGCTGCTTCTGTAAGCATTCTCTTTCCCAACTTCCATAAGTCTCTGAAATGGCATACCTTACTCTGTTGCTTCCCTTGCTAACAAAATAATTTTAACTCATGCTCAAGGTACATATACCTAAGAAAAAAATTTTTTTTTAACATATTTTATCTTTTTATTCCCCTTATCCTATTACCACCATTGAAAACACCAGCAGTAACATAAGGCTAAGGGAAAGTCTCAGCTTACAATCCTGTCATAAACTTCTCCCCTGCATTCTATTGACAGTAAAAGTAATTCCCCCCACTAACAGGAAGATAAGAAAACACAGTGGTCAATTAAAAAAAAATTCAACACCAGGGATTTTAAAAAAATTCAGTTTTAATTAGGCCTTTTCCTCTCAGGGTCTTTTAGGAGGATGCTGGGGGAGGGGTAACATTTTAAATGTAGGCTTCCTTAGAAAAAAATGACATCTGAGCAAAGATGGAACAGAAGTGAGAGATCTAGCCATTCCGGTATCTGGTGGAAAGATGATTCCAGATAAATAGTCAGTGCAAAGGCCCCAGAGCTAGAAGGATACTATGCTGTTACAGGAGCAATGCTTAGAAGAAATGAGGTCAGAGAGGTGGATGTGGGGTGGGACTGGGAAAGGAGATAGCACAAGGGCTTTTTTAGGTCACAGAAAGAACTCTGGGTAAGAAAACTTGGAGCTAATGATTCTGACTTGCTCTTAGGTCTACAAACTCCTAAACGTTAAAAGTATACCCATGTCATATTACAGGCTGGTACAAACCTCAAGTAGTGTCTACACTTAATTTACCACCTTTAAAATAAGTGAAAATGCCTTCCTTCTGGAATAGGAAAAATATGTGAAATTACTCAGGTGTGGTAATTTCGGTGTAAATTACACCTAAATTACAGTTTTAATTTACTAGTTGGTATCTTAAATATTAATGAGCCTCCTGTTTTATTTATACATTGGAACAGTTGTCTTTTTCCAGGTTCTTCCTTGTCTCTAGTACCTCTTCATTTCCCTTAGTATCTTAGACCAGATAGTATTTTCCAATCTTATGTCCTATTCATGGCTTATGCTGTCAATACCAGTAACACATTTTATTCTGTTGCAGAGGTCGGAATTTTGCTGGCCCTTTAATATGGAAATTATGTATCAGATGTAGATCAAAACAACACAAAATTACTTGCCTCAGTTAGTTGAATGGAGTAAAATCAGGATTTATCTTGAATTTCTGACTACCAAAATGAACCATCCTGTTTCCTTGATGAGGAGGACACGAGGTAACAGAAGGTCCGTAACGCCTTGAGAATTTAAGAGTAATGTATTAAGTAAATTTCATTTTACACAATAGTACTACCTTTAAGGGAGAGGGGACGGGGGACTCCACTAGAGAGGAACTTCTACTGGTCTTAGTTTTCCGAAATGCCTTCGTATCCCCTTAAGAGATGGAAGGATTCTGCAGGTCAAATTTGAAAACTTGTCAATTTCCTTGGAAACTGGTTTCTTACAACAGGGCAACACACTTTGGGAGCAGATTGAGGTAAACTACTTTCATTACAGTTCAGGTAGAAGTGACTGCCTTGTTTCCTACACCGTAACTCATCCAGCTGCAGGTTTAGAACGGTGTCTGTCTCAGGGGCTTCTACGCATGGGTTCCAGAGCTCCAACCCATTTAAGTTACGACTATTTACAATGATACCTGCTGAAATTTACTATGATATACACACATACACACATTGCATCAAGAAACCAGTAGAGCTGTACAGACCTCAGTTAAAAAGCAAAACTGGCTTTGATTTTTTAAAGAAATTTCTCACAAGGGGCAAAACCAAGCCCTCACTGTTATACAGGTGCTGGCCAATCATCGAATCAGCGGCAGTCTTAACTGCTACGATACGGGTAAAGCTGATATGCCTGTATCGCTTCCACTACCCGTCGCGCACCCCAGTAAAGAACTCGCTGAGGATTGGTAAGGACAAAAGAAAGTTTCTGTCAAAGTTTAGGAGAGGGACTGAGCAAGGAGCAGTTTCAGATCATATTTAAGCCACAGACAGTGGAGAAGGACGAACATCCCCCGGCTGCTCTTAGATCGCCGCAGGGCCAGAGAAATGCGAGAGGGAAGTTTTTCTTCTGGACATCTGCCTCCTTATCCCCGAGACGCGCGAGGTCCGCCGCGCCATCAGTCGAAGCCTCGGCCTCCGTGGCTCCACCCCAGGGCCGACCGACCCCGGCGTGCGCCCGAAGATAAGCGGTCGCCTCGGGCGCTCGCGCCAGCTCCCGGGCCGGACCCTCCCTGGGGCCTGGCTGCCCTCCGGACGGTCCCAAGTCAGCCAGTGGGCCCTGCCCCGGGCCCCTGGCCGCTAACGCCGACCTGGCCTCCGGCCGCCCGCCTCCGTTTCCCCTCGCGCCGGCGCTATGGCGACAGTCACGAGACGCCGGCGGCCCCTGCGCCCGCCAATGGGAGCGCACGTCGCAGGGAGACGCGGACGTCGCTCTTCCAAGATGGCGGCGCGTCCGTCGCGAGCAGCCGGGCCGGGGGGAAGCCAGCGAAGCCAAGTAAAGCCGCCGCCCGGGAGAGGACTGAAGGAGCTGTTGCCGCCGTTGGCGGCGGCTCAGGCAGTTTTCGCTGCTGCTACGGCTGTTGCCATGCGGCGAGGCTAGGGAGGAGCTCACTTCCCCGGGGTGTAATAATGTTAACAGAGGTAAGCGGCGACGGCGGCCAGTGTTTACCTGTGAAATGGGGAAGGGGCCGGCGCTGGCCGGTCAGATAGCATCATTTCAGCCGCTGGCGGGCCCGACCTTTGGTAGCGGGCCCCCGGGACCGAGCAGCAGCGGGGATCCTACAAGTGCCCCTTGAATAGGAGCGGTGCTGACTCAACAGTCCCACCACCTCCAGCTTGCCTGTGCCTCTGGTTTCGCGGTTGCCACTTGCCCGTCGCCCCTGGCACTGGTCTCCCTCCTGCTGTCGCTGTGCCTCCTAACGCGCCGCTCCCTTCGTGGCGTCCCCTTACGCGTTGCTCTGTGGCAGCGTCGGTCTCTGCTGTTTCTTGTTCCCCTACGGTTTGCCCGAGGTGTCTCCCTTCTCGGGTCCCTGGCCTCAGGGCCCTCCGCTTCCCAACTCGGTCAGCATCCTGGGTTTGTCACTCGGCCAGTCTGGCTTCTTTCCCCCCTCCACCTTGACTACTTCGTGAAGAGGACCTCTTTGTCTGAGGGGACACTTGGGTAGCCCGGTTACATTAACCCCCTATCGCACGCCCCTCACCTTTCGCTTAAATCGTGGGAATCAGAAAGTTGAGTTTAGCATCTGTCCTCTTGATTTGCTTAAGGCTCCCATGGTACTTTCAGTGGAACAGTTCCCCCCCACCCCACCTTGGTCCTGAAATGGAAGTAGGGCAACTGTGACTAGCCAATCAGTTTCCCTTTTCTGTTGTCTGATGTCCATTGCAAAAAGCAGACTTTTTGAAGAAGCAGAGTTTGCCTTCTGTAGCAGTACTTTAAGGGGAAGAACAAAATTGATGTAACTAGGTACTTGACCTCACACAGTTAGGTATTGTGGTGTATGCTCTTGGGTGTCATTGAAGATAAATTCTGAGGCGTGTGGATTTGAGGAAGTGTCTTAGAAGCTACTCACTTGAAGTCCTGTGAAGATTCCAGTGTCAGCTGTCAGGGACTAGTTTGGGCATCTTTGTGGGCTGAACTAAGGATAGGAAGAAATTTTAACAGGCAATGGGAAGTATTCCTACTCCGACTGATAGAGAGAAATGTTTGTAGATGAGTGGCTTTTGTTGTGTGAAAACGTGGTAATAGAGGACTTACCTGTCCTATTTTATTGACTCTGAGGAACTTCATACTTTGATATTTGTACTTGATAATGTGTACAGAGCCTGGCATATGATGTGCCTGGAAAATCCTTATTGGTTGATTTTAGCTCGTGAACTACTTATTTCTAGTAGTTTGTAGTTCATTCTGTATTTCTATATACCGCAGTTTTTTTTTTTTTTTTCAGTCCAGTAGTTAATTTTATTCCCAGAGATTATGGTACATCATAAGCTTCTGTTGTCATTAGCAGTATTAGGTTAGGAAAAAAAGATAAGTATCAGAAGTTTCATTTTTACCTTTAGTGTGACATTTTGTGGGAAAGATTATTAGCCTTATAATTTTTCAGTGCTGTTGATAATATACAGTATTTTATGAGATGATCTTTTGGTTAAATTTGGCTTAGGTTAGCAGCCATTGAAGAGTTGTAATGCTTTCACATGAATTCAGTGCCTACTAGTAAAATGGGGAAGACTGAACTTCCTAAGCGTCTGTGTTTTATTGTTTAAATTATTTTTTGGCCATGCTACATGGCTTGTAGGATCTCAGTTCTCTGACCTGGGATTGAACCTGGTCCGTGGGCAGTGAAAGCCTGAAATCCTAACCACGGGGCCACCTGGGAATTCCCCTTAACTTCTCTATTTTAAAATAATTTCATGTTTCAGTGAGATATTTTCAATAGTAAGTCAGTCATTGTAGTTAGATGTGCTTTAGTGCTGTGTGTGTGTGTATGTACGTACGTGTGTGTGTGTGCTGCACTTAGCTTTTAAGAGTCAGAGCCAGGGTTCCGACCTCGCCTATCTCTGCTGAGTCCATTGTTAACAACTACCCTGGATTGCCTGTCCAAAGTAAGGCCCAGATTAAATGCTACTTGGATCTTAATCTATGTTTGTGAGTAATCATTTTATAGATTAGAAAACTGAAGCCCAAATACTTGTCCAAGGCCAAACAACTATTAGTGGCAGAGTTGAAACTGGAATCCCATCTCCTGATTAGGTACAGAACTCTGACCATTTTGCTCCCTCTGAGTAATTTTCAGCTCTCTTCATAGGTTTTAAACCGTACTGCTTCTTTGTATGAATATTGTAGTAGATAAACTGAAAATTATTATTATTCGAGAAAGACTTTTTTGCTTGACCTTAGGTTTTTTTGGACCACATTCAGAAATAGTCCTGTTTTGAAATATTTGGGATGTAAAATGATATTCAGTATTGATTTACTAAAATTGTAGTGTGGGATTTCTTCTTACTGCTTCTCTTTGTGCTAACTTAGATATCAGCATGTTTGGGGGCTGTGACTTGTTTTATGTGAGATCTCAAAATGTGTAATGATGAGCTCTGTTCAGTGAGCGTATACTGTGCTCAGAAAGTGGAGAATCGTACAGTCTGCTCAGTTCTTTCATATCACAACACTGGGGCAGGTGATAGCCCCATTAGCCAGATAAGAAGACTGAGGTTGAGAATCAAAATAGCTTGCTTAAAACAACTGGTTGAGTCAGTAATCACACCTAGGAACTCATTCCAAATTGTTTGTTGTTTCTGTGGCTCAGTATGGAATGCATCATTAATCTTTTTTCTGTAGCTCATAATCATCAATACACTGTTTTTAGTTTGGTTTTTTTTTTAAACTGAAGTGGGGGTGTAAAAAATATAGCTACTTAATGTAACATTCATATCAAATGAGAATAATAAACATGTGAAACTTTTCACTTTTGCATTTTGTCAGACTAGGTCTTGGAAACCTTTGCAGAAGTGAGAAACCATGCAAGTGATCAATTAAGGGCTACATTAAATTAAGCTGAAAGGAAAATTTTCTCCAGTTGAGCAAATTCATTTGTATACACTGAACTTAGAAACCTGTGAGAAGAGGGAGGTGGGAGGGGGGATCGGGATGGGGAATACATGTAAATCCATGGCTGATTCATGTCAATGTATGACAAAACCCACTACAATATTGTAAAGTAATTAGCCTCCAACTAATAAAAATAAATGAAAAAAAAAAACCAAGAAAAAAAAAGAAACCTGTGAGATATGATAGATTAGTGTGAATTGAAAGTAGATCATCATGCTGTTTTTTCTTTTTTTAATGTAAAGAGAAGTTATTAACAGTTCTCAATTTAAGTTTTTTGACTTTGTTTTGTTTTCATTCTAAATACTATTGAAGTATTTAGAAGACTCAATAGGTGTATTTGTGTATTTGTGTCCTTTGTATTTCCGTATATGGATGAGAGGATTTTTTTTTCCCACTTAATGTCCATTTAACCTTTTTTTCAGGACTTCTTAATTTTATTGTTCTTCCTAAAACATTTGTCCCAATAATTTGTAAATACTATACTTGAAAATTATTTGTTTAATGCTCACTTACTTATCCTCTGTGTGCCTGCTAAGTCGCTCCAGTCGTGTCCGCCTCTGCGACCCTATGGACTGTAGCCCGTTGGGGTCCTCTGTCCATGGGGATTCTCCAGGCAGGAATCCTGGAGTGGGTTGCCATGCCCTCCTCCAGGGGATCTTCCCTAACCGGGAATTGAACTCCCATCTCTTCTGTCTACCTGCATTGTTAGTGCCACTCTTTTTAAAATAGGAGTGAATTTCAACATATCAGACTTAGGGTATGGGTAAGTGAGTAGTTTACCTGAGAATTTTTTTCAGTTAATCTGACTTTTCACAACACTTGAATGAAATATTTATTAGTGAATTTTCATTAAACACACTTTTAAAAGCGATTGGGGATATTATTACTGAGTATTATTACAGAGAACTAAAGGTATAGAAGATGTAGGAAAATATGCTGAATTTGGTCCAGTGCCATGGCATACTCTGGAGGTTGTCTTTGAATAAGAACCAATCAGCAGTCTTGACCTGCATGCTTTTAAAAATAGTGAATAAAAATTGTAGTTATTTAAACTTAGTAGTAGTTTGGGTTGTGTGTAAATATGGGACATTAGTAAATGTTACTTACGGGTGTACTAAGTAAGTCCATACAGATTTATTGATTTTTTTGTGTGTATTAATGCTAATTTTTGATATTGTGGTTAATATGTACAAATGGGTAAGGCATAAGCTGCTGCCCCTTTAGAAGTCCCAGGTTAATAGTTGTTAAGGGAGTACAATTTTGTGGTTCAAATATGTTTGGAAGATTTGCCTACGGGAAATTAAATAGGACTTCTTATAGCTTTTGATAAGTGATTTACTCTCAGAGAAGGTGTTAGAATTTGTCATATTGCATACAGACTGTGATAGTTAGTTTTATGTGTCGACCAGCCCTGGAGTGTCACATTAAACATTATTTCTAGGTATAGTGGTGAGGGTGTAACTGGATGAGGACAAGTTTAGCATTTGTTTTTTTTTCAAGATTAGCATTTGAAGTGGTGGACTCCTTACAGTAGATTGCTCTCCCCAGTGTGGGTGGGCACTGTCCAGTCTGTTGAGGGCCTGAGGAAGACAATGGGAAGAAGGAATTTGCCCCTTTTTTCTGCTTCATTGTTTGAGTGTCATTTCATCTTCTACCCTTGGGCCATGATTTATACCATCAGCTTCCCTGATTCTCAGGCCTGTAGGCTGAATTACACCACTGGCTCTCCTGTTCTTCCAGCTTGCAGACGGCAGATGGTGGGACTTCTCAGCTTCCGTAAGCTTGTGAGCCAGTCCCTCATAATAAATCTCTTAAAAAAAAATTTCTGTTGGTTCTGTTTCTCTGGAGAACCCTGACTTAATATAAAGACTTAAAAGAATTTGTTGTATTTTGCTTTGGGAAACCCTGAGATGTGATGAGTTGTGCATCAGGGGAGATCTTTGGACTTTCAGAGCTCTTTTTGAAACACACACACACACATACATGCCTGCACATAGTAAGTGCTTAAGAAAAAATTATGACTTGATTTTGTTGA